GGTTCTGAGGACTCCATCCAGATCTGTTTTCCTGGCACATAACCTGGGGGCATCTGCCCAAGCTCCAGGTGAGAGGAGAGGGCACACTTTCTCCCCATAGCCTGGCACTGGGGCAGAGAGCTCTTTCAGGCTCCAGGCGCCAGAACCCTACAGCACAATGGCCTTTGGATGCCTCTAGTGGCCTGGAGAGGAGAGGTGGCTCCTTCCCAACTCCCTCTGGGCTGGGAAGGGCCTGGGGAGCAGCTGGAAATGGGAAGCACTTCCCTTACCCCTGAATTTGCTGCGCCTGCTGACTGTTCTGCTTCCCCCTGATCCATATATGATTCTGAAATAAGAGCAGGGAACTCTGCTAGGCTGACTTCTTACCCTACAGCAGTGTTCACCTTGGTCATGAAATTGCAGATTCTGGATAAACTGCACGTCAGCCCCAGCTGGATCTTGACTCACTGCCTGAATTTTCCATGTCCTTTTGGAGATAACACCTATCTCAGCTTGCTGGGTGCTTTCTGATTATTCACTTTTTCCCACTTGGTGTTTGGCTTTGGAAGCTCAGGGTATAGTAAAAGTGTCTGGACCTGCATATATGTTAGAAATTTTAAAAATACAACTCTGCTTTTTGTTGAAGGAAGAAAAGATGGGGGGGGGCAGTATTAAGATAAAAAAAAATACAGTTTTCTAGTCCATTCTCCTAACTAAATGTAACTTTCGTGTGCTAGATATAATGCTATAATTTGTCAAGTGTGTATGGGGGCAGGCACTGTACTTATAGCTGAGTGTATATCATTGAATCTTCACAGCAGGTAGGATCTGTTTTTACTTCCATTTTACAGATGAGGAAACTGAGGCACAGAGAAGTTACTTGCCCAAAGGTACACAGTAAAGAAATGGGCCCGAGAGGCTAATCGAAGCATTAAAAAAATTTTTTAGCGTTGTTATATATATATATGCTTTATATATACAACAAATATATAAAATTTTGCCATTTTAACTGTTTTTAAGTGTCAAATTTTAAGTGACATTAATTATACTTACCATATTGTGCAACCATCACAATTGTCTATTTCCAAAAGTTTTCATCACCTCAAATAGAAACTCAGTACCCCTTAAGCAATAACACCCTATTCCCCACTCCCTTCAGCCCCTGGTAACCACTAATGACCTTTTGTCTCTATACATTTGCCTATTCTAGTATTTCATGTAAGTAGGATCATACAATATCTGTTCTTTTGTGTCTGGCTTATCTCACTTAGCATGTTTTCAAGATTCATCCATGCTGTAGCCCAACATTTTGACTCCAAAGCACTCACCCTTAAAATCCCCACCCCACTGCATGGCTCGAGCTAATGAAGAACCCATCTAGAAACCTCAAACCGAACCACACATGTTCGTGCCGAGTCAATTCCAACTCACAGTGACCCTATAGGACAGAGTAGAACTGGCCCATAGGGTTTCCAAGACTATGATCTTTAGGGGAGCAGATCACCACATCCTTTTTCTGCAGAGTGGCTGATAGGTTTGAACTACTGACCTTTTGGTTAGCAATGGAGTGCTTTAACCACTGTGCCACCAGGGCTCCTTCATCTAGAAACAGTCCCATGAAATATATGAACTTAATTTTAAATGCATGAATTCTTTCTAATAAAGTGTGAAGAACAATGAGAATCTGAGGCCATCTCAGTTATAAATCTGTTTGTAGAGGGACCTGGTATTTCCTATATTATGAAGAGCCATTCTGGGGTCTCTAGAAGACAGTTCACATGCAACAAAACCCTTTTATGACATGGATTAGCATTAGATAGATTCGCATGTGAGTCAAGCCACACTCCCCCAGATAGATTACTTTATTCAGTCAATGTCTGGCATAGCAGAGTATGGAAGGCTAGCCTATCAGGCAGATGTAAAACAAAGGGATTTCACCATGTCCAATGCTTCGGGTTCACAGAGAATCACAGGTCTGACGTGGGAAGTTTTGGTGACTCACTGCCAACTGTGGACCACCCGCAAAATGCTTTAGGAAAGTATTTCTCTACAGAGGCCAGTTAAAGCAGGGAACTGAGAATTTACTTAGTGATTTAACGTGTCCAGCTAGCTCAGACTCCAAATTCTTTTTTTTTTCTGTAAAATCAGGGTATTTATCTAAATTTTCTGAATTGTCACAACCACCCACTTGACTTTCTTTTTGTTTTTGGATATTTTGCTGTGTTTTAGGTGAAAGTTTACACAACAGATCAGATTCCCATTTAACAATTCATACACAAATTATTCCATGACGTTGGTTACAACCCCTGCAATGTATCAGCACTCTCCCTGCTTCCACACGGCCTGCCCCGTTTCCATTCATCCTGTTTCCCTGCGTCTCCTTGTCTTCTCATCTTTGCTTCTGGGTAAATGTTGATCATTTTGGCCCCTATAGTTGATTGCTTAAAGGAGCACATTCCTCACAGGTGTTATTGTTTATTTTATAGGTCAATCGATTATTTCACTGAACGGTGACCTCTGGGAGTGGCTTCAGTTCCAGGCTAAAAGGGTATTTTAGGGTGATAGTCTTAGGGGTTTCTCTAGTCTCTGTCAGTCCAGTAAGTCTAGTCCTTTTTTTATGAATTTGAGTTTTGTTCTACATTTTTTTCCCATTCTAACCAGAACCTTTTATTGTGTCTCTGATCAGAACAGTAGGTGGTGGTAGCTGGGCACCATCTAGTTCTTCTGTCTCAGGCTAGAAGAGGCTGTGATTCCTGTGGACTAATTTCTTCCTTGAGTATTGGGTTTTCTTCACTTTCCTTTGCTTCAGATGGGAAGAGACCAATAGTTATATCTCAGATGGCCACTCGCAAGCTTTTAAGACCCCAGACGCTACTCACTAAACTAGGATACAGAACGTTATGAACTAAATTATGCCAATTGACCTATTTGTCCCATGAGACTATTGTCCTGAGCCTTCAAACCCAGTAAATTAATCCCACCAGGTGTTTGGATATGTCTAGAAAGTATCCCTAACTGTGCCCCCTATGCCACTTGACTCTCTGAACAAACTCAGCTTAAATTCTTACCATATCTCCAGGTTATCATTTTGTTATGCTTATTAACGATCTCTAAGGGTGAGTCTGGAGTCCCTGGGTGGTGCAAACAGTTAATGTGCTTGGCTGGTAACCAAAATGTTGAAGGTTCAAGTCTACCCAGAGGAGACTGGGACGAAAGGCCTGGTGATCTACTTCTGAAAAATCAGCCATTGAAAACCCTGTGGAGTACAGTTCTACTCTGACATATACAGGGTCACCATGAGTTGAAATCAACTCCTTAGCAACTGGCTTTTTTTAAGGATGAGTCTACACATGTAAAGCAAATGGACCTTAACACACCAATGCTTTGCTTTTAGCCAGGTGCATGATCAACCCAGAGAACTGCACAACTGATTCAGCTTCTATAGCAATTGACATCAATCACAGATGCATGGGTCCTGGACATGGTCTAGGGCCCCACTATGACAATAAAGCTGATGGTTTTTAAAGGCTGTGCTACAGATACCCTCCCTCATTTGATGAAATAGATATTTTCCTGCCAACTTGGCTCTGTTGCCTACACCTTGGCATCTTCCAGTCTGATAATTCTTCAAGTTAGATGCTTTATAGAATGTAAAATGAATTAGTTTTCCTTTTCTGTCAGTGTTGTAAGTTCCCTATGGATTTTGCTTGGACTGAAAAATATCTTATTAATCAGACACACCGAAATCACAGAGTTGGCCTACACTGTTCATTTGAATGATTTTTCTCCACAGATGACAAAGCACACGATGCTAACAGTTATCCAATTTTAGCAAGAAGGCTAAAAATTATATTGAACGAATGGAGTTGCATTATTTAAACTTAAATTCAATTTTTGCAATTAGAAACATCCACAACTTAATAAATTACATCATATATTTTAAAATATTTGGAGAATGACCTTATCTGTTCCATTTCAGCCTTAGATGGCTGAATTAAAATCCTAATTCCTACTAAAGGTCTTCAACATGAGAAATTGTTAACTATGATAATACTTTCCCCTGATTAAATAAGGAAAAAGAGTTGGGGCCTTGCCTGAAAGGACATCATTTCAGAAGTCAATTTGGTTTTAACTTCATTAAAGTAATAAAACGTGGGTGGTTAATCTGAGTGAAAGCTGCCATTTTCTGAAAATGCATTAAGACTGAACTGGATGGCTGGTTGTATGACAGGAGCTATTTCGGATTAGAAAACATCTGTGATTTGGAATTCAGTGAATTGCATGCTATTTACAAATTCTTCAGCCTTTAATCTGGATCATTCCCATTCCACTGCAAAGCAGAAGGCAGACCTTTCCGCCTAGTTACCCTGACTCAGACGTCAGTTCCCAGAGGACTCAAGTTTGTTCTACAGATGTTGGCTTTGACGGCGACAAGCCTGAGGGATTCTAAACTTTCAGTTGAATTTATCCCCTTTCTGGATACTATTAAATCATTCCTGCCTCAAGCACAGGGCTTGTCTTTGCTTCAAAGGAGCTAAAGAGTGAATTATTCACCAAATTGCACAAAAGGTTTGTCCTCTCCCAGAGGACAAACCCAGAACTGGGGAACTTTATTACTCTCTCTCAGCTATAAATCATGCCATTCAGATGCTTTTGAAAGCTTCTCTTCATGCTCTTGCTTGAGTCATAAAACTTGATACCTGGGGCCAAATGCCTTTATCCCCCAAGAAGGGTGAAGAAGATGAAAAGGCAGCAATTCTAGGCAAGTGCCACCCAAAGCAAATGACTGGCCAGAAAACTCGGACAGGGGAAACAGTTACTCTGCACAATTCATGCCTTCTTGACCTGGTAGTCTACTCTGAAATTAATTTTACTGTTTGTGTATTACCAGCAACCTTCTAAAACCTGAACTAGCTACTTCAAAAACACTAGGTTTAACCAATACCACCAGTTGGATGGTTGTCCTTACCTTTTATACTGGGATTTGAGATATTGTGAATTTCAGTAAACCAGCAACTCACCTGGACAGGGTTTGCTGGGGCCGGCTTTCTCTGGCTTCTTTGGAGTCATCGTACTTTTATGTTTCTGCTTGACTGATGTTTGGTCAATTGCTGGAAGTTTGGAATCACATTTAATAGAGGAAGTCTTGGCAGATAATCTTGGTTCGGCAAGAGGATCCTCCTCAGCAGAACTCTACCGAAAATGAAAGGTGTCTGAATATCAATGACCAAGGATGTCACCTTCAGTCAACAGGGAAAAAAGAAATCAGGCAGATACAGCGACCTCTCCAGCAATAATACTGGAGCATCCTGCCATGCTGAGTATGTCCTTTCGCCAGTGAGATTTTGACTGACTAGGTGTCTCAACTTAGAAATGACATCAAAGTTAATGAGTTTACTTTAGAACAACATGAGAAGAATGCATTTCTGACCCTTAAGTAATTTGGTGACCAACAAGCAGCTCATGTTAAAAGCTACATAGGAAAGCAGGAGAAACAATTAGTGCTCTTTACTGTTATTTGAACTGCTTTGGGGGTGGGTAGGGAAAAATGTCCCTTACGTTCATCATATATTTGGCAATGAAAAGGAAATTTAGATAGTGTGATGGGGACTGGGTAAATCAGACCCCAGTTTCAATACTTTGAATTATTGGGTACAACATAAGACTTTTGAAAAGTCCCTACTTGTCAAGTCCCTACTTCTATAAAGAAGTCAGTATAAACCTACAGGTGGACAAATCATGATCCCTGCCATGTTAGAATATCCCAGCACAGCCTTGCAGCCCCAATAAAAATTATCAGGCATTCAACAGTTTTATACTTTGCCACACTTATACCCACCAAGGAGCCCTGGTGGCACAGTGGTTAAGCGTGCAGCTACTCACCGAAAGGTCGACAATTCAAACCCACTAGCTGCTTCGAGGGAGAAAGATGTGGCAGTCTGCTTCCATAATGATTACAGCCTTGGAAACGCTATGGGGCAGTTCTACTTTGTCCTATAGGGTCAGTATGAGTTGGAATCAACTCAACAGCAACGGGTTTGGTTTTGGGTTATTGTTGCAGGTCCTGGTGTTCGTCTGACTTGCTAGGCTATAGTTATACATTCTGCAACAAACAACCCTGGGGTGGGAGGTGTCTCTAAGTTTTCTCACATTGCACCTCCTCAAAATAAGATAAAATAACAAACTAGTTGCCATCGAGTCAATTTTGACTTACGGGGACCCCATGTCCTCCAGAGTAGAACTGCACTCCATAGGGTTGTCAAGCCAGTGACCTTTCGGAAGCAGATCACCAGGTCTTTCCTCCGAGGCACCTCTCGGTGGGTTCGAACCACCAACCTTTCAGTTATACTTGAACACTTAACTGAGCCACTCAGGGACTCCTCACACTGCTTTTAATCCTGTAATGAAAAGTCCTTTGACAATGCCATCCTTTTGCAGACATGGAATGCTGAGTTAATGTCCCCTGCATTCCCCCAACTGTTGCAATTTGTATTGATCTTGCTTATCCTTCACGTCGACAGTTGTAGCATTTTCATTTCACAGGCTGCTGACTCAGGAAAACACTCTGAATAGCTTTGAATTTTTGGGCACAACATAAGACAACTAAACTCTAAGCAAGCCCCCTACTTGTCACTCGTCTATAAAGAAGTCTGTATAAATCTACAGGTGGACAGATCACTATCCTTCTAGATTATAAATCATGGCTTTTTAATTTCGAGTCTGGATACAGCCTTCAAATAATTAGTGTTTCTCTGTACATTTTCAGAAAATAGACCACCCTAAGATAAAGGGACAGGCAAAGGACAGGACATAATGCATTGACTATTTTCCCTTTCCCTTTTGATTCTGGAATTTAATGGAAATCCTTGAAAATTATTCTGAGATGGCAAAGGTGAAATATTAGGTCATTTAAAAATATGAGATAGCTTCTCCATTCCCAGAAAAGGAAATATGGGCAGATCTTAATTATGATGCCTAAGATTGTAATTAGATCCTAGAAGTCACCGGCGAGAACAGCATTAGTGAGCGCAGGACAGGATTTCTTCCATGAACTGTCCATCGCAAACAGCTCATGTCACTGGGAGGAGAAGCCCGCTCACACAGGGCCCTGCTCTTGGGCCTTTTATTCCCAGCCAGCAGAAAGGCAGGAAAGATGCTCTGTGCTAAGGTTACCAACACCTGTGGCTACAGCATCAGAGCTGGTGTTTGCTAATATTAGTGGGTCCATCCCTGTCTCCCCCAGTGCCTGGAATTCTCTGCTTGTCTCCAGAAGAAGTGAGTTGACAGGGGTTAGCAAGGAGACTCTTAACTGGTGATAGGTCATGTTGAAGGAGCTCTGGTGGTGCAATGGGCTCGGCTGCTAACTGAAACATCAGTGGTTCAAACCTACCAGCCGCTCTGTGGGAGAAAGCTGTGGCAGTCTACTTCATAAAGACTACAGCCTTGGAAACCCCACGGGACAGTTCTACTCTGCCCTGTAGGGTTGCTATGAGTTGGAATCGATTCAACAGCAACGGGTTTGGTTTTGGAGGTCACGTTTACCATTTCTTCACCCATTCACTATACCTCAAGCCTTTAGCAGCACTGGAGAAGTGAAAGAAAGCTTGGCCAATTAAGCCATGCCTGTAATGTATGGGATTGCGCATCTGCATTCCAAGTACATCATGTTCTGGCTCCTGGGTAGAGCCATCAACCTTATTTCCAGGTGGCAATCACTCTTAGGAGTCTAGAAATTGCAGCTAGCAGTCAGCATTTTGTCAGCTGGAAACTAAAGCCTCAATGACAAGAACTATAATACTTATGCACGTGCTACTGAATCTTTTCTTGCTTGCCCCATTGAGTATTCTTAAACAAACCATTTCAACATTTTGTGTCTTTGTTCATGTTCTCAAACATCTATCCTCCCTCATGAAAACCAGTCATATCACCCTCTCCCACAGGATAGAAGACGTTGTAGTAACTCATTCTGGTGCTAAAGTGTGGTATTTAAGACTCCCTGGGAGTGAATCCTGGCTCTTCCATGTAGTAATTGTAGACTTTGGGTTAGTTATTAATCTCTCTGTCTCAAATTTTCTCATCCATGAACAATCCACACTGCTGTTGAGTCAGTTCTGACTTACAGTGACCCTACGGGACAGAGCAGAACTGCTCCATAGCGTTTCCAAGGAGCAGCTGGTAGATTCGAACTGCTGACCTTTTGCTTAGCACCCGAACTCTTAACCACTATGCCACCAGGGCTCCATCCATGAACAACAGTATCTACTTTTTGGCTGTTTTGTGAGTATTAAATGAGCTAATATATGTATATAGCACTTGAAGAGTACCAGACACACAGTGTCATGTAAGTGGTAGCTTTTATATTTAGTCATTAATTCATGCTCAGCCATTTAACAAAATTAACTAGCCAATTACTGAGCACTGTTGAAACTAAAACCAAAAGCTCCAATTAAAAATTCCATTGGATTTCTTCTATTCCAAAGAGACATGAATGCAGAGATGGGTCAGCTCCTACACCCAACTCTCAGTTTCTTCTCAAGGCTATATAATTTATAATCTTACATATAACTGCTTGAAATTTATCTAGTTTTAAGAAAATATGGTGCAGTTTTTTTAGACAGTAAAGCTCTAATGGCAAATATTCAACACCATTTAGAGATTATCGAACAATAATAAATAAACTATTTTATTTAAAGTTGATTTTAAAACTGCGCTTTTTCCACTTGTAACTCTGAACAGTAATTACAGTTTTCATTGCTTCTCCCATATGTTCATAAGTTGAAATGTCACATGGAGGTGGAGGCAACAGCACACTGCTACTCCTTTGGGGGAAGAAAACCAACTCTACCGAAATCAAAGCCTATGACATTAAAAAGAAAACCCACATGATACATGAGTAGACTTTAAATCTCTATTGGGAATTTGCTGAGAAAGTACTAATAATGCCGTGTTAACTAAAAGAAGTTATCGTTAAAATTAATACTTTCTGGATTATTATTATTTTTGTATTTAACATTTTCCAAAGATCTGCTCTTCTGGTATCATACATAATAAAGTAAAATTGCTACCATTGCCCGACACTAGCCTTGCTCTAAAAGTTCAGAGAAAGACTCACCCTGGGAAAACAAGGCACTTACATTTAGGGAATATAAATGTCATGGGGCACTGAAGTAAGGGCTTAGTAACATTATAATGACTCAAGTTAGACCTCCTGGAAGATGGAGACACAAGGGTTGGGAAATGGAATGTGTTTCCTCGGAAATGTGAGAATGACTAGATTTTTAAACTGAGATCTAACAATGTTAAGTTTGAAATGGCAAGGTGACAATGAACAGACGTGTTTGGGAGAGCAAGGAGGCTGAAGTAGTCAGGGACAAAAAGGACTTGAAATTATTTTCCACCTCTTGGCCAATAGCTCGTTTCCAAGACCCAGAAAACTGGTTCTTAACTGGTATGCCACCTCACCTCCCACCCCACTAAGGTGTGCTACTAAATTCTGATTGATGTGTACCAAACCCATTTTTGCCATGTGCCATGTGAGGGAAGGCTGAGCCGAGCAGATCTTAGGACATAAGGCACAAGTGCTGTGAATAAGAGGGGAGAGAAAAGAGTAGTGTCAAGCAGGTGCCAGAGATATTGTGTGCTTATTACATCTGAAATAAATTCACTTTTGTGAGATTATGAACGAGTATGATCAAGCCAGTGAACCTTGACTGTCAAACAGTGACAACATGCAAAGGGTGACAAGGGACTGTGGGTGCAAATGAGTACCTTCAGAGGGCTGTCTCCAAAGTCTGCAATCAAGCTGTACCTCAAACACAAAAGCTACCTAAAGGAACTGAGGGCAGCTTGTATCAACAGCATTCTAGATAGGATAGATACCTTTATGTATTCAAGAAATATAAAGTATGTTCTCCACAGAGTGTTGTTGTAGCACAAAGCAGGCTAAACGTTCTCTTGTCTAGAAAAAATTATAATAGTAGTAAAGTCCTTCACATGTTCAGGATAGTCTTGAGTTCACCAGAATTCTAGACTTGAAGATCAATAAAGAACAGCAATCAATAACTTGTTTTTTTTTTTGGACTCAGGTACCATGGACCTGAATCAAACTGCTGCTAACCCCATTTGTCTCTCCCACCTAAAATGGCTGCCAGGTGAGGCAGAATGAAACTAGAATCAGCAATAACAGTCCTTGC